AATCTCCAGGGTTTGATTAATCAGGGAAAAGAAATATTTGCTGAACACATGAATCAATGATACTTTGATAAGAAAACCAGCTGAAAACCTGGATCAATCTTTGTGATGCAGGGCAACGGATCTCTCTGACCCTCAGTTTTCCCTTCTGTAAAGTGGGTGTAACTCATTCTTTGAACAAGTCTCTAAGACTCCAAATATCAGGCTCTTGGACACCGTGGGAACAGGATTGAGAAGATTCTTCTTCCGTGGAATTTACGGAAATGCAGACAATAAAGCCATAAACAATTAAACGGGATGACTATACTAAGAAAAAAAACGGATGATGAGATTACAGGGTCAATTCTAGAAAGGAAAATCACAGAATATGTCTCTAATGTGACTTTTAAGTCCTTCCTCAAAGCGACTATCGATTTTTTAAATCTAATAATCCATTTTTTGTAGAAATTCATTGTAAAACCAATTTTTTGGCTACTGGGGTGGAGAATTTGTAACTGGATCCCGCCTTCTAGGCGGGGTCACATCTGCCCGAGGTGGGATCTCATTGGTTGCGGCAGACCTCGCGCAGTTGCTTGGCCCCGGCAGCCGGCGCCCCGCCCCTATGGCACTCCAGCCGTCGATCAAGCTTCGGGCTCCGCCCTCAGCGCGCGGCTTCGTCCCTCTCTATAAAAGGAGCCGGCGGGCGATGACGAGCCTTTACGTCGGCGCGTAAGGGGGGGGTGCGTGTGAGGTCATCGCGCGGGCGGGCGGGCGGGGTCAGGCGGTTTGAACGAGACGAAGACGGAACCGGAGCCGGGTACGGGCGGCGGACGCGGTCCAACCGAGAGCCGGTGAGCCGGCTAGCGGGCACGGGACGGTGGCTGGGGGGCGGCTGGGCGGGCCTCGACCCGAGCCGAGCGCCAGCGGGCCTCGCGGGCAGTGCTCGGGCCGCTCCCCCGGCGGTGCGGTTCGGGCCGGGTGGGGGAAGGGCGGGGCCGTGACCCGGCGAGCGCGGGCTGGGGGGCGCGCGCTCTTCGCTCCGCGGGGGGCGGGGCGTCGGGCCGGAAGTGGGGGCTGCCCCTCGGCGGCGTGGGGGCTTATGGGCCGCGGCCTAGGCGTGGAACCAGGACAGGAGGCAGGAGGTTCCGGGGTGGTTGGGCCGGGTAGGGGGCGTGTGTGGGGTTGGAGTGGGCCTGCTGGAAGTTCTGAGGACCCCCCCACTGTAGGAGACGGGGCCGCCTGATGATTTAAGAGTCCAGGTTTTGGAGTATTGAATTCCCTGCTGTGCGACCTTGGGCAGGTGCTTTAACCTCTCTGGGCCTCTTGTTTCCTCATCTGTAAAACGCGGGAGAAAGATAATACTACACGTAGCAAGGGCTTGTCCCCGAGTATGGCGAAAAGCAAGCCAGCTCCCTGGACTTCTTCCTTTCTTCATTAGTATTTGTTGAGCGTCTATTGAGCTCTAGGCACTGTGTTAAGCACTGGTTATACCCCCAGGAGTAGGAGGGCAAAGGCCTGCTTTCTAGTAGTCTACATTGTGGTGGGGAGACCGAAAATTAAAAAATACATGGAAATGAGAAAATTAATACATGGGAAAGAATTTCATATGATCACTGGCGAGACTGTGTAATAGGGTGATATGAACAGTGCTTTTTCAGTCCCTGTTTCACAACTGATCTGGGGTGCTGCAGAGCAGAGCTGGGCCTCTGCTCCATTTTGGGAATGAAGCTCCTGAAGTCCATTGAAGGAAGATGCACCAGGCCTGCCATACGCCTCTCGGTTGGGGTATCTCTAAGAAAAGTGATAAAAGCAGCTCTTTGCTAATTGGGCACTTGCTGTGTGCCAGGTGTTCTGTGGTTTTATGTCATTTAATATTGTGCTTGTCTCTTAACAGATTTTATCTTCATTTTACAAATTAGGGGACCGAGACTCTGAGAGGTTATTTGCTTTATGGTGTCCAGCAAGTGGCTGAACCCAAGTCTGTGACTCTGAGTCCAGGCCCTTAATCTCTGTATTACACTGCTTCCCTAGACAGATCTAGACAATGTGTTTCCAATGTGCCCTTTATGATGGTGTATATATGTATACAGTTTCTGTGGCTAAGAAATGTATAGCGGTTTCTGGCACATAGGGAAGCTTAGGACATGCTGTGTTTTTCACTTAGAGTCTTAGTTAATCCTCACTGCCTCCTCGGGATGAGCAAATGAGCTATTTGTGATCTGGAAAGGTGAGGTATTTACCTAGGGCCACATTGCTTTTTTGGGGGGGAGGGGTCACCCCCCCCCATTCCATAGTGCTGAGTATGGTACCTTGAAAGTAATAAGTGCTTATCAGCCAGCTTTGAATTGGGGTGGGTTTGGGAGCCTTTAGGAGAGGGTATATATGGAGACGTAAGGGAATCCTTTTTCAAGGAAGTTTAAAGGTGGATCAAGGAGGGGTGAGGTTTGTGTGGTGATCATGGGGTCTTTCTTCCATTGAGGTCAAGCAGAGGAATCCTATGGAGGAAGAGAGTGAGCTGTCGCTAGCTGTAGCTGAGGCTCTGAGAGCTGGTCTCTTTTGACTGCCTGGAAGAGCAAATTAAATAGTTGAGTCAGTGGATGTTTATTGCACATCCACAGGGTGCCTAGCCCCATGTATTTAGTGGCTGCTGAGTTTGCGGAGCACATGGGGCCAGGTATTAATGTGCTGCTAATGAAAGAGTTTTAAATTTATGATGAGGAAAGGCCATTAACATTTACGGAGCTGAGGTGTGGTCAAGAGACACACGTGGCTTTACCAGCTGCTTACATTTTATGGCAGCATGATACACACAGTATCTGATGGATGTATGTATGAATGTCACCAAAATGGATTACAGGTGCTCACCCTGGGACTGTGGTGGTTTTTGTTTGCATGTGTCTCTCTTTGGTACCACACAGTCTGCACTTCTTTTCTTCCTTTAGGGATTTTAAACACAGGAGTCACTTGGTCTGATTTTTGATTCAGAAAATTCTCCTTGGCTGCTGTATAAAAACAGTTTGAGACAGAGACTAATTTGACGTCTGTTGCAGTGGATGGAGGTGAGAGATGGTAGTGACAGGTCTCAGGTGCTGTTTTTGGCACTGGAGATAGGATAAATGAGACACGCCCCTCTCCTGGACTTGTTTGTTTAATACCAAACCAGTTTTTGTGCCTTACCTCATTTAAACCTCACCTCAGATGGGGGGCATTCACTCACAAAATAAGTGAGGTGTATTGAAGCTAAGTAACTTGGCCCAGGTTCGTACAACTGAGTGAGAGCCTCATGTTCAAACCCAGGCTTCAAATACTCAGCTCTTTGCATAGTGCGAATTTCCTACTGGTTCAGATCCCATCTGGGAACGATTCAGAAATGGAGAGATAATGACAGTTGCAGAGGTTTGAATGAAGTGCTGTGGGAACATAGGGATTAATTTCCCAGTGGAGTCAGGAACTAAATTGTATTGACTTCTTGTATAACATGGTTTTATCATCTGAGTTTAGGTAAGAGAGTTGATAATTTGCTTTCTGAGACACATTTTTCTCTCTTTGACACTGGCCTGTGAGCCTGAAAACAAGTAGCCTTTACTGAGCCCACTGTGTGTAATGTGCTGTGCCAAGTCCTTGGGGGAAGGGGGAGTGTGGGGTGTGAGGGCACAAGCCTGATAAGTCAGTTATCTCTCCAGGCCTGTTCCTAAAGAGGAGGTTGTGTGGTAGATCTCCATCATTTCCGGCCCTCACATTCTGTAGCTGTTTGACTTGTGAGGTGTGCTGGAGACGCAAGGGAAGACTAGCTAGTCCCTTGGTGGTTCCAAATTGTCCTGAGTTTTTCTTCCCCCATTGATCATATTGATGTCACATGAAATGAGGAAAATTACAAGTGTTGGTCATTGTGAAATTTAGTATTTTATAGCAGGAGTCCCCAACCTCCAGGATTTAATGCCTGATGATCTGAGGTGGAGCTGATATAATGATACTAGAAATAAAGTGCACAATAACGTAATGCACTTTGAATCATTCGAAAACCATCCTGCCTACCCCCTCCCCCCTTTCCCCAGTCTGTCCATGGAAAAACTGTCTTCCACAAAACCAGTCCCTGGTGTCAAAAAGGTTGGGAACTGCTATTTTGTAGTCATGAGTCCTCACGGTAATTGCCCAGGAATTTTCATTTAGGTCTGGATCCACCTGCCCTTATTGTTTGAGTCTTCTCTGCCCATTATCTGTTCACCAGCAGTTGGTGACCTTTTTCAAACTTAAATAAGAATGTGATTCTCCCCCATTTAAATCCCAGCAAGGCATTCTTGAACAGTTAAGGGATAACATCTGAACTCCTCATCATGCCTGCAGAGTCCTAACAGGATCTGGCTTCTTCACTTTTCCCACTTCTGTTCCTCCTCACCCTCCTGTTCACGGGGCTGTAGCCACTCTGCTTAAGCGTCTCACTTAGCTTAGCCAAGTGTCTGCTAAGTTCCTGGTGCTTAGTAGGCCTGCAGATGGCCTCCTGTCCTCAGTAGGTTCAGCAGAGAATTTTACTAAGGACTCTGCTCTGTGAGGTATTTGCCACCACCTCTGTAGTACTTAGGTTATAGCAAAGGTTACTTTTTTGATTGTAAAAGTGGACATAGTCTTTAAGAAAATTTGGAGAACCTCCTAGTGGAAACTATAAAGAGAAGTTAATAAAAAGCCCCCCATCTGAAGAAAACTGGTGTAAACATTTTGATACATTAATGGATAAATGAATTGATGTTTTCTAAGCGGAGCACATTTTTATACCAATCACATTAAAATGGGGCCTGAATTTTAGGCTGGCTGGTGTTGAGCCATTCATTTCAGGTCTTGTTTACTCCTGGAAATCTAGGCTTGTGACTGGAATCCTAGGTCTTTGATTTGGCATCTTGGAGAAAAATGTGGGTGAGGCTTCCAAATTGAGTGTCGTTACACTTCTGCTCTGGTGACTCCAGGAAATGCTTGCAGTTTCTTACTGCCCAATAATGCGATCCCTTCTCTTTTCTCACATGCTGTAGAAGATGGCAGTGAACGTGTACTCAACGTCGGTCACCAGCGATAACCTCAGTCGACATGACATGCTGGCCTGGATCAATGAGTCTCTGCAGTTGAATCTGACAAAGATTGAACAGTTATGCTCAGGTAAGAGAAGTTCAGTAGACCCCTTTCCCCAGGAAAGCCTGTGGGTCCTTCAGGGATGCACAGGTCAGTCCATGTCTGATTGCAAAAGCCACAGGTTCAGGTTCTGTTTTAGGGCTGCTCTGTTTGTTTCAGCCCTGCCTTGGTTCCACTTGTGAGTGGGACTGCTTGGAAGGAGCCTGCTCTCTTCTGGCCTGTGTGTCCACCGTCTCCCGCTGTAGCAGCTCCATTCCGAGGCCTGCGGCTTACTTAGCCTCAGCTGTTCCATCTGCAGTGTTTGCATCCAGATTTGAAGTGACTTATTTGAGGACAATAATTGTAATTGTTCTCGTTCTGTATTAGTTTATCAGTGGCGTTTCTTACTCCCACATAACTCAAGACCAAAGTCAGGCTGGTTTGCCATTTCAGCCACAACTTTATTGAACTACTGTTTATTAAGAATCTGACAGAGAAGTGCTGATTTAAAACAAGAACATCCATTATGTGTTAGGGTTATCAAAATTGGATTTACCCTAGATAGGAGGTGGGGTCAAGAATATGATGAAGAAGGAGGAGCTGTATATCTTGCTGCTACTTGAATTCTTATCTTGATCTTGGGGTGGAGAATTAGAATCTTCAGCTTCTCCTAGTAATCATAACAACAGTTATTTAATTGAACACTTGTGTGCCAGGGTTATGTAAGTGCTTTCAAATATCTTTTTATCACTGTACCTCTGTGAGGTAGCCTCTTGATGAAAGTGAAAGAGGAGAGTGAAGAAGTTGGCTTAAAGCTCAACATTCAGAAAACTAAGATCATGGCATCCGGTCCCATCACTTCCTGGCAAATAGATGGGTAAACAGTGACAGACTTTATTTTTGGGGGTTCTAGAATCACTTCAGATGGTGACTGCAGCCATGAAATTAAAAGACGCTTACTCCTTGGAAGGAAAGTTATGACCAACCTAGACAGCATATTAAAAAGCAGAGGCATTACTTTGCCAACAAAGGTCCATCTAGTCAAGGCTATGGTTTTTCCAGCAGTCATGTATGGATGTGAGAGTTGGACTATAAAGAAAGCTGAGCGCTGAAGAATAGATGCTTTTCAACTGTGGAGTTGGAGAAGACACTTGAGAGTCCCTTGGACTGCAAGGAGATCCAGCCAGTCCATCCTAAAGGAAATCAGTCCTGAATATTCATTGGAAGGACTGATGTTTAAGCTGAAACTGCAATACTTTGGCCACCTGATGCGGAGAACTGACTCATTTGAGAAGACCCTGATGCTGGGAAAGGTTGAAGGCGGAAGGAGAAGGGGGTGACAGATGAGATGGTTGGATGGCATCATCGACTCAATGGACATGAGTTTGAGTAAACTCCGGGAGGTGGTGATGGACAGGGAGGCCTGGTGTGCTGAAGTCCATGGGGTCACAGAGTCGGACACAACTGAGCAATTGAACTGAACTGAACTGTGAGGTGGGCATGTTTATTAACCTTATTTTATGGATGAGAAAATGGGCTTAGAGAAATTGAATAATAAGTATAGGGTTAAACAACCAAGAATAGATTTGAGGCTTGAACCATGTTTGAAATCAAGAGCCCATGTCCTTCAGCCTCTGCCGTACTTGTTCTTCAGACTTTTCTTTTACCAACTGGTGCCATTAAGATCTCCTTAAAATTATTGCTTTCATTTATATGAAAATTTACTAAATGAATTCAGCTTCTGTACTTCCTTACTTTGCAGCTGAGTCTTGGTCTTAGTTTCATTTGCTGGTCTTTCTTGTTACTTGCCCTGTGAGATTTAATCCCAGTTTTATAGATGGTCAGAGAGGCTCGTTGTGAAGTTGTACAGTGAGACGGGTGCCCAAGAGTCACGCCTACTAAACTTCAGTTGCACTGTTAGTCATAGGTGCTCTTAGATCTGTGTTGCTTTTCCTCTAGTTTCATTTCACCACCACATCCCCTTTTCTTGGAGGCTTTTAAAGCACTTGTTTGCCCCGTGATTAATGACTAATGGGGGGGGATGAGGTCATCTTAATTTTGATTGGAGCCAGCTTTTTCACCAGCAATTTCTCCCTGAAATTTGCCTCTTTCTATAAATACACTTCAGGATGTATTTCACTTCATTAAAAAATGAGATCTCTTTTCCTGTGTAGGTAAGGTGTACGTGTGCTGATCTGGCTCCAAGTTTCTCTCATTCAGTCAGGGAGCTGTCGTCGGTAGTCAGGGCTGGGCACGAAGAGACTGAAGTCTGCTCTGAGCCGTGTGACTTTGGATGGGGCTCTGATGTTCTGGTTCTTCACCTGTAAACTGGGATAGTAGGATCTGGTTCACCTGTTGGGCTGTTGTGAGACTCACCTGTAAAATTAGCTCTCAGATACGGATTCTGCACCAGCCCCTGGGACAGGACACATTCTTGTTTTACAGAGGAGCCTGCATGGGACACAGCTTATGCATTATAGAGCCTGATTTTGCATCCAGATCTTTCTGGTCACATAGCCTGTACTCTTTCTGCTGTGTACATGCTTTATCTTTTTATTTTATTTTTTTGACTGCACTGGGTCTTCATTGCTGCCCATGGGCTTTCTCTAGTTGCAGTGAGTGGGGGATACTCTAGTTGGGATGCACAGGCTTCTTGTTGCCATGGCTTCTCTTGTTGCAGATCGTAGGCTCAGTAGTTGTGGCACTTGAGCTTTGTTGCCCTTGGCATGTGGGATCTTCCCAGAGCAGGGGTTGAACCCGTGTCCCCTGCATTGGCAGGAGGATTCTTAACCACTGGACCACCAGGGAAGTTCATCCATGCTGTATCTTTTGAAAATAAGCACTTGGAAGAGAGGTGAACAAATGTAAAACATTTTACCAATTATAGTGATATTGTTTCATTAAAGATCTGTGAAGAGTTTGAATTTTGCCTGCTGCCTGCCATTTTTCTTATTATAAAGTGCTTTTTCCCAGTGAAACATTCAGAATACTTTCTGTGATTTGAAAACAAACTTCTGTTCACAGCTTGTTCCCCCATTGAGAGTGGTGTGGGGCTTTTCTGAGTATGTAGAGGTTGCATTGTGTTTCATGTTAGTGTTTAGGAAATGGGGTCTCAGCTTCCAGTATGAGATTAAACAGGATGAACTGTGGACATTGTGTCCCTGAAGAAGGTCTGCTCCCAGGGGATTGGAATCAGAGAGAAAGCGAGGCTCCTCAGATCCTTGTGTTTACTGAGGCCTAAGGAGAATCCCAGGGACCTTTATCACTGGTACCTGGTCCCTCCTGATCTTACCTTCATTAAGCAGAGAGCCATGCACCCCAGAATTCTCTGACCATGCACAAGCTTTGAGAGGTAGGAATAGATTTTTCCCTTGAGAGGGCAAAGCCCTGAGGTTCTGCACTGTTCATGTGCTGGCTGCCTGTGAAGTGGCTGAGTTTTATCAGCGTCATGGGCTCCCTGCCTGCAATGATGAAAGGAACCTCTGCTTGGCTCTTGTAGTGAGATAAGGTGCGGAGGACTTCAGTGATAGGGTTGGCTGGTTGTTTCAAGGTTCATTGTGTTCTGTAGTCTCTCTGTTTTGGAGAGTTAGTCGTCAAATATTTTGGAATGATAGTTATCAAGAAAAAAGACCCTGATCACAGAGAGTGATTGCGATGAGGGATCGCTTGTGTCAAAAGGGGGAATCAGGAAAGGAAAGAAAGAAAAATATTTCCCTGGTAGACTAGTGGTTAGGATTTGGGGCTTTCACTGCTGTGGCCTGGGTTTAATTCCCAGTTGGGGAACTAAATCTCACAAGCCTGGTGGCAAGGCCAAAAAAACAAAAAACTGGAGTGGGGAGAGGGGGTTGAAGAATGCTGATTGCTTTCCATTCCATTCCTGTCTCCTTTCAGTTCCAGTCCCTGATCAGGCCCCTCTGCACTTTTCCAAGGGCCCAGCGTGGTGCTCTGAGCGTGAATGTCCTCAGATCTCCCTTCCTTGCCTTCTGTCCAGGCCAGCCAGCTTCACAGTTCCTGTGCTCTGCTGAATGGAAGAGGTGTTCAGATGCTCCCAGGCAAATGCTAGATTTCCTTTTTCCTTAGCTTACTGTGGGGCCCTGGTGGCCCTTGAATTTATATGAAACAGCTTGTCAGTCTTGTTCTGGAGCTGTTCTGAGAGTGAGACCATGCCACTGACCAGGCGTCTCCTACTTTGTTTTCTCCTCAAGTTGACTCCCTTTTCCATTTTGGACCTTAATTCCACCATTCTTCCCGTGTCTCAGGCCTGAGAAGCATCTTTTGAGGATGACTCAGAGTTCTCTCAGGCTTCTGTAGGGTCTTTTGGCTGTAGCCTTTTGTCAGTTTGCAGGCTGCTGCCACAGTGGCCTCCAAACTGGGCCCTACACACCTCTCTCCCTGTCCCGTGGTAGTCTGGGCCCTTCACGCCTGTCTCCCTGTCCCGTGGTAGTCTGGGCCCTTCACGCCTGTCTCCCTGTCCCGTGGTAGTCTGGGCCCTTCACGCCTGTCTCCCTGTCCCGTGGTAGTCTGGGCCCTTCACGCCTGTCTCCCTGTCCCGTGGTAGTCTGGGCCCTTCACGCCTGTCTCCCTGTCCCGTGGTAGTCTGGGCCCTTCACGCCTGTCTCCCTGTCCCGTGGTAGTCTGGGCCCTTCACGCCTCTCTCCCTGTCCCGTGGTAGTCTGGGCCCTTCACGCCTGTCTCCCTGTCCCGTGGTAGTCTGGGCCCTACACACCTCTCTCCCTGTCCCGTGGTAGTCTGGGCCCTTCACGTCTGTCTCCCTGTCCCATGGTAGTCTGGGCCCTTCACGCCTCTCTACCTGTCCCGTGGTAGTCTGGGCCCTTCACGCCTCTCTCCCTGTCCCATGGTTGTCTCGGCCTTTTGAAGAGACCATTTTTATTGAGTTACTCTATTGCTCACGGAACTATCTCTTTAAATTTATTTTTGCTTAATTAATTCTTCAAGTACCTCTTTGTGTTAATTGAAGCAGAAGACAAACTTATTTTCTTCTGAGTATAAGTAATCAGGTCTTCTTTATAGAAATGTGTTAAAAAAGAAAGCTAGCTTAAAGCACAGCGTTAAAAAAACTAACATCTTTGCATCCTGTCCCATTACTTCATGGCAACTAGAAGGGGAGAAACTGGAAGCAGTGACAGATTTTATTTTCTTGGGCTCCAAAATCACTGTGGACAGTGACTGCAGCCACAAGACTAAAAGATGCTTGCTCCTTGGAAGGAAAGCTGCGATAAACCTATTGAGCATATTAAGGAGCAGAGACATCACTTTGCCAATAAAGGTTCATAGAGTCAAAGCTTTGGTTTTTCCAGTAGTTATGTATGGATGTGAGTGTTGGACTGAAAGAAGACTGAATGCTGAAGAATTGATGCTTTGGGAAATGTGCTGGAGAAGACTCTTGAAAATCTGTTGAAGTGCAGAGAGATCAAACTAGTCAATCCTAAAGGAAATCAACCTTGAATACTCACTGGTAGGACTGAAGCTGAAGCTCCAATACTTTGGCCACGTGATATGAAGAGCTGACTCATTGGACAAGACCCTGATGCTGGGAAAGATTGAAGGCAAAAAACAAGAAGGTGGTGGCAGAGGATGAGATGTTTAGATAGTGTCACTGACTCAATGGACATGAATTTGAACAAACTCTGGGAGACAGTGAAGGACAGGGAAGCCTGGTGTGCTGCAGTCCTTGGGGTTGCATAGAGTCGGACACAACTTACCACTAAACAACAACATAGAAACAAGAATAAAACTGTTATCTGTTTTATTACAAGTGATAATCACTGTTATCTTTTAAGTGTATTTTTCCCTCTAATTAAGGTTTTATTTATTGAGCTCTTACCATAGGTCAGGCACTTTCCAAAGTGCTTCACCTGTGTAACCTGGAAGGTAAGGTCTGTCATCCCCATGTTATAGATAGAAAAACTGAGAGAAGTAAACTGACTTGTCCAAGGTTACTCATTTTAGCTATATTTTCAGTATTTTCCATAATTTTAAAACGTAGTTGACATACTTTTTGAATAACCAAGTCTCAAAATGGTTTAGAATTCAAAAGAAACAAAAAGGTAAACAGTGAAAAGTAAGAGCAGAAGTAACCAGTGCCGTCAGCTGGGTGGCCTCCAGAGAGAGTGTGTAGGGGCAGAAACATCCACCTGTCCACATCTGTGTGCGTGTTCTTCTCTTTCCCCTGTTTCACACAGGCGGGGGCGCATTTGAGCACACTGGACATTCTGGAGAGTGTTCCATTGTCCGTGCAGTGTGTCTCACGTTCTTTCCTTTTGTGGCTCTGTGGTACCGTAGTTTCTTTGAATCAGTCCCCTGTTAATGGACATTTCATTTATTTCCAGTCTGTTGCTGTTACAGACTGTTGTAGTAGGTATCAAATACAAGCACACGATGTTGTACAATTGTCTTTCTTTTAAAATTAAGATAGGGTAGTTTTTCTCATGTTAAGGTGTCTTCAGACTGACCTTTAATGCCTGCATTAATGACGCCTTACAGCCTTCCATTTCCGAATTGTTTTGGCTATTTATTTTTTTTGATGCCTGGACAGGGACTGTTTCCAAATTGTGTTCATCATTTAAAATGACTTAAGCCTCACCTACTCCTGAAGCCTGAGCACTTTTGCATTTAATGGAGTGTGTTTCCTGTGTGTAAAACTTTTGAGAGTTCTTAATGTGGAGTTTTCTGATAGGGCATCTGTCTTATGTAGAATTCTTTGTTTTCTTTCAATCTGTTTTTCCCCTCACTCTTAGTTACGGTGATGACTCTTGGTCAGACTCTCAGACCTAAACTCAATAAAAAAAAATTTAGTTGGAGGATAATTAAAATATTGTGGTTTTTGCCACACATCAACATGAATAACTTTTTAGAAATTAATAAACTTTTGACCGTGCTGGATCTTCATTGCTGCTTGTGGGCTTTCTCTGGTTGAAGCGAGAGGGCGACTACTCTCTGGTTGCCATACAGAGGCTTGTCACTGCTGTGGCGTCTCTTGTTGCAGAGCGTGGGCTCTAGGGCCCCACAGGCTTCAGTAGTTGTGGCACCTCTCCGCATGTGGAATCTTCCTGGGCCAGGGATCAAACCCTTGTCCCCTAAATTGGCAGATGGACTTGCCAGCCCCTGGACCACCAAGGAAGTCCTGGCCTGCATAGATTGTTGACTTCAGCTTTCATCTAATTCTCCAAGGGGCTTTGGCCCAAAATGGTCGAGAGCCTGTGCACTTGAGATAGTGCAGGCGTCTGGCGCAGGGGCCGCATTGTGCCGTGTGTGTTCTCTGCTTTTAGCACAGATCTCGTAGGACGGGGCTGTGGTGGTCAGCGGGGACCTGGTGGTTGATGTCATGACACATTGGTCCCACCCTAAGGCTGTCTGCATCTCCCAGCCACAGGTTCCGTGAACCTGCTCTCCTGCCCCAAAGCATTGAGACAGCGGTCATCTGAGAGCAGTCCCCTTGTGCTGCTTGTGTTGCCAGACTTTGTTGTTAGGCTGAGACTGGAAGGAAAGCCCCTTTGAACCTCTTCTGTACCCAGTTGAGACATATACAGGTCAGGAGTTTTGAGCCCTTTTATAAAAAACCACCTGACAGACTTTTTCCTTTTAAGCATTTATCTTCTTCTTTTGTGTGCTTATTATAAAAGTAATTTTCATTGTATATAATTTTAAAAAATAGTATATTCAGTACCACCTCCCAGAGATGGCCATGTTCAGTCATATTTGATCTCCAAAACAGTAACCTTGTATGGTTTATACATTGTGCTTTCTCCCAGTTTTTTTCTATACATATAAAGATGAATGTTTTTACATATATGAAGACATGTTATAGATACGTTTTTGTATCTTAAGTTTTCTTTTAACATTAAATCTTGAGCTCTTCCCCCAAACCCCGCCAAAAAATGTGCTTTGATTGCTTGCATAATATTCTCTTAAGAATTTATGTAACTGATTGCTCCTACTGTTGGACATACAGGTTGCTTCCATTTTTTCCTCTTGTGAATAAAGTTATACAATTTTCATGTGTAAATCTTTACTAGATGTATTTTTAATGTGTATTACTTTATTAAATTTACTTTTTTTCCCCTTTCTTGGAAGTTTACTTTTTTTTTCTTTTTCTTGGCTGCACTGTGAGTCCTAGCTACTGGACTGCCAGGGAATTCCCCTTGCTGTATTTTCAAAAAAAAAGAAATTATTCCCTTAGATCCCTTAGGTTGGATCCCTATGTGTTTATTAGGTATTTACATTTTTGTATGTGTGAATTGTCCAATTGACTTGTCTGTTTTTACTGGAATCCTCGTGTTTTTCTTCATATATTAACTCTGTTTCAGCCAGCTAGAGTGTAGCAGCGTGGTATATACCTCTTTCTTCCCTGAGCCAGGAAATGCTCTAGTCTGAGGTAGGGTGTTCTAAGAAAGTATATGATGACATAGGAAGGAGCAGTGGTCAGGGAGTCAGAATACCTGGGGTCTGGCTCTGAGCTTGGTCTCTGGCCTCTGGTCTTGAGCCACAGTTTTTGGTCCTCAGATTTTAAATTTATAATGGCTCTAAGGATTCTCCTAGCTCTAAAATAAAAACTGAAAGTTCTTCAGGCAGGTTTTTTTAGAGGAGCAGATGACTGATGCTTTTAAGTGGTTTCGAATGGAAAGTCTTATGAATGGTTTGAGAAAACTGTATTTAGTAAATGTACTTTATTTTGCTGGTTCATAAAAAATACCTTTCATATGTGAAGCGGTGCTGTAGGTATACTTCATAGATTACCTTCTGTGTATATGTGTGTTTTAAGTTGATTTGTATGTATCAGGATATATATATTGCAGTTGGTAAATTATTGCAGTCAACAAAAAGTTGACTTTTAAATCTCTCTTAAAATACAGCAATCATCTTTGTGCTACTAACTTGTTAAAGAGACTGGGTTGTTGTCTTATGAAATTTAGGAAGGTATTAGTGCCTCCATTTAAAAAAGCATAAATATTGCTAATTCACTGCCTGGTACATAGAATTCCCATAGTACATTTTTGTTGGATGAATAAATAAATCAAGCCACCTCAAGAATCAGGCTTTCACTTTCTAGTGCTCCTTTCTACTAAGAATGTCACTCTGATCACTGAAGTGTTTCTGCTCTTTTTGCATCTTTCCAAAAATAATGATAATGGCACTCTTTATGCCAGATCTGGCAGGAAGCCAGTTTGGCCTGATGTAAAATAAGTTGAATATGCTTATTAAGGCTGCCTCATTCTGCAGAACACCTATCACGTAGTTGCTGGATTTCTTGCCTCCTTTTCCTGAAAAGGCAGTAAGTGTACATGGAGCCTGCTCTGTATTAGGAGAGTGCATTTTAGTAGGCATTAGAGAAATTGCATTCCTAAATTTTAAGTGCCAAGAAAACACTTTTGGGGGTAGTGATGGATAAAAATGAACAAGTGGAGGAAGGAAGAAATTGGGGAGCAAATGGGATGAACTATATGCAGTAATTTCTTATAGTGGCCTTTAAAATAGAAAAAATTTAAATGGAAGAACACAAAGATTCCTTCTATTCAACTTTGTTCATAAACTGATAGGTTAATTAAGTTTATTTAGAGATGTAAAAAGCCCAGGGAGGCCGAATCTTAGGAAAAACACATTTTTTAACCTGAGTCAGAGGATGGATCTTTGATCAGAGGATGGATCTTTGCCATATTGGGGAATTCCTCCTCCTGCTGGCATTCATTTTTCTTTTAGTTGTCATTTTATTGTCATGCCTGTTTCTTACAAAGAATAGTGTTAAAATTTCATAGGAACATTCCTTCTCTCTTCATGGGATTTCAGGTTGCAAGTATGTTGTAGAACTTAAATAGAACCACAGTTCTGTTACTGATTTCAAAGTCAAGTGGAAATGACGCTTTGGGATTTTGTAGGTACACTTCCACAACTTTTCAGATTGTATGGGGGTTAAGCGAGTTGGTAACTTTTTACCCTTCTTCTTTAATAGCTAGTGCATTTAATGTTCAGGTGTGTATTTTCTTCTTCTTTTACTCATTCAGGGGCTGCCTATTGTCAGTTTATGGACATGTTGTTCCCTGGCTCCATTGCCTTGAAGAAAGTGAAATTCCAAGCTAAGCTAGAACATGAATACATCCAGAACTTCAAAATACTACAAGCAGGTTTTAAGAGGATGGGTGTTGACAAAGTAAGTAAGCTTTATTCTTTCATTTAGGGTGTTTCTTAACTCGTCATAATTACCAGTGCTGGCCCATGACTTTGGATGTTTTTGTTTTTCTTTTCCCAATTTGTATAGTTATCTTTTCTCGCGTTAACAGTTTACCGGGAGCAATGTGTCCCTCTATTGTCCTATCCCTGGTTCCCTTGTGGTCATCTTTCTTCATCGTGAAGTTTCTCGGCTCTGGAAAATCAATCTGTAAATCTGTACCCATTTTTTTTTAAACTGTTTAATATATTAATCTGAGATCTAATTCCTTTAATCTCTGAATTTACTTCTGTAAAGCATACCATATGGTAGAATAAGTAATTCTAATAGAGAAGATTCTAGAACTACTTGACTTTTTTAGTGAAGTATAAAACCAAAGTATAAACTACAATATTTTTATAGCTAGTAGGTGCTGGAAAGTTCCCTCTTGCCCTCAAGGTTACATGAAGCTTTAAGAAACAGAGTCCACCAGGCTTCATTGGAAAAAATATCTCTGTTTTAGTAGATAATATGTTATTGCACAATTAAGCAGCTTTCCCTCCCAGTAAAAGGGCTTATCCTTTAAGCCATTTTGAGGGGGGAAACATTTTTCAGGAAAGCTTGTAATCACCCCCTAATTATCTTGCTTCTATATCTGATTTTTTATTTACTTTGAAATCAGTCTTAATTTAATTTTGTCTCTGCAGTATATAAAATGTGCATTTGTATTGTAAGGATATCATTTAGTTATCAAGCATGGTTTAAACTAGGTTTAGCTTATACAAAATACTTTTTCTTTTTATGGAATTAATTTTTTTGAATAAGGCAGATTCCTAGAGTATATAAAAGCTGAGAGAATAGTGCAGGGATCCCCCATGTACCTCAGTGGTTATCAACTCAATGATATCAACTCATATATATCTCTATTCTACCCCCTGTAGTCCTTGATTATTTTGAAGTAAGTTCCAGATAAAACTTTTATTTGTTAATGTTTCATACCAAAAAATTAAAAAAAAATTTTTTGCTCAGAGGGGTGGATAGTTAGATTGTAACTGGAATCCTTGAGGAGTTAAAACATAGTTAAGCTCTGACCATTTAAAGTAATACCTGATATCACAGTATTCTTATACAATAAAAACCTTAGAGGGTCCTTTAAAGTATGTTTTAATAGGATTGTGATGACTTGAAAAACATGCCATTTTGTAGAAGTCTATCCCAGGATTGATTGTGTACCTTGACGTATTTTTAAGATAAATTTTTTTTTTTTAACACAGTTCATCATGAATGCTTGTTATTTTGTGCTCTGGACTTGGTACCTTGTGTCAGGCACTGTGGCCATGCGAGTTCCACAGGAGGTTTACTTTTTACAGTGGAATGACATCTTAGAATGTGTTTGGGTGTGTGTGTGTGTGTGACTTCTGTATGATACTTGTTTCTTTTGCATTTCTGGTTTTTTTTGATGGACTTGAACTGTGGGGATTGGCTGTTGTTAAGTTCTTTGTGGAAGGTAAATTGAATGAAACTTGCCCTACAACCTTCCAGGGGCTTACTGAACATTTAGTTCTTGCCTCTTTTCTCCTTTTAGCAGAGCTTTATACTGATTTTGATGAAGGTGAACACCTTTGATGCTTGCCAGAAACCTCTTGCTTTGAACTAAAGAATCTTATGTTTTTCTGCAGATAATTCCTGTGGACAAATTAGTAAAAGGAAAGTTTCAGGACAATTTTGAATTCGTTCAGTGGTTCAAGAAGTTTTTTGATGCAAACTATGATGGAAAAGAGTATGACCCTGTAGCTGCCAGACAAGGTCAAGAAACTGCAGTGGCCCCCTCCCTTGTTGCTCCCGCTCTGAACAAACCGAAGAAACCTCTCAGCTCTAGCAGTGCAGGTAAAAAACAAACCAAACCACCCCCTCCCACAGACAAATAATGCCATTTCCAAATAATGGTAGTCTAGGTATTTATTCATTCATTCAGTATTCACCCAGAAGTGTTTGGGTAGCCATAGGTTTAGGGATCTTAAATAGCATAATCCCAGCCTTATGGCAGGAGCATGGATTGTGACATCAGGGCCCTGTGTTTGTTCTGAGATCTCTGGAGCCTCTATAAGCACTTCACCTCTGCCCTGTTTCCTCCTCTGTAATAGGGGAATTTCAGTACTGGCCCCAGAAGTCTGTTTTTGAAGCCTGGATGAGTTACTGTTTGCAGTTTTGCCAACACTCGTTGGTTGTATGGAATAGAAATCCCTCAGGTTAGCTCACGTAAAGGAGAGTTAGTTGGAACACAAGGATATTTCATCTTAGAGCCCTGGGATGGGAAGTTGCAACCGGACCTGAGCTCTCAGAAAAAAGAGCTTTCCAGGTCCCTCGGGGGCTGTTCTTGGTTCTGCACTGTCCTCCTGTCTGCAGAGCAGCTACCTGTGCTTACTCACGGCTTCCCTGCCTTTCTAGAACCTCAGCTGCTAAGTTCTGTGATGCCAGCAGAATCTAGGAGGCAGGGGAAGGCTGTTTTTAAGAGACTATCTCTTGAAGTCCCAGCCTAGTGGGTTTTCCCAAATGTGTTTGTAGTGATACACTCACAGAACGTGTGTGTACCTTGTGGAGCGGTGGGTGTTCTACAGATGCTAACTCCTTTCTAGAAGGTGGTAAGAACATTAATTAAAGTTGCATAGTACCTTGAGAGAGGGCCTGATCTACCTGGTAGGTAGAGAGGGATGTTGTGTGCTTTGTAATTTTTATAGCTTTATTGAGCTCTTGATTGACTTACCATACAGTTCACACATTTAAAGTATACAAGTGTACAATTGAATGGTTTTTAGTACATACATAGGTAATGTTATACTATTGCCATGATCAGTTTTAGAACATTATCATTACCCCCCAGAAGAAACCTCATGTGCACCCAGTAGCAGTCACTTGGCATTTCTCCCCAAAACTCCCTCCCTGACAGTCCTGAGCAACTGCTGATCCTCTGGATTTACTTATTCTGAATATTTCTGAATGGAATTATAGAATATGTGGCCTTTTATGTCTGACTTCTTTCATTTAGCATAATGTTTTCAAGGTTCATCCATGTTGTATTATGTATCAGGACTCCTTTTTATGCCTAAATAATATTCTCTTGTGTGGCTGTAGCACATTTTATTTATTCATCAGTTGATGGTGATTTGAGTTCTTTCTATTTTTAAGCTATTATGAATAGGGCTGCTATGACCATTCATATACAAGTTTTTGTGTGGGCATATGTTTTTATTTCTCTTGGGTGTGTATCCAAGAGTACATATTCTTGGAGCAGAATTTTTGGGTCATGTGATAACTCTGTTTTAACTTTTGGCAGAACTACCTGACTGTTTTCCAAAGTGGCTGAACCATTTTATTTTCCCAAGCAGAGTATATGAGGGTTCAGATTTCTCCAGATATTGAATACTTTGATTCTTCAGCTTCTTAGAATGGGGAATTGCATAGATAACCCTGTGTATTTCATATTTCAGATGCTGCTAACAGGCTTGTGGAGACTTGGATTAAGTATTTAGTCTTCAGTTTAAACATATGCTAGAGATCCTCCAGCGGAAATGCTTGTTACTCTGGGTGGCCTTAAGGTCATATGGTTGTTGAATAGTTTGGAATGTTAGGAAGATTGAGATATTTCTAAACCTGGCATAATATATAAACTTTGCAAAATATTCGTTGAATGAATAACTAAAGTCATGAATGATAAATTTGCCTTGAGGTAGCCCATTCCTGATTATTCTTTATTATTTTAACTTATCAATAGATTCGCCCCTTTACTATTTTTTCCTTGTCTTTGCTTTGGTCATTCTTACTGAGAGAAGTCTTTCTATCCTAGTCAGTGTGCTGCTTTTCTCTCCTGACCCTCTAAACACCTTCTTAAAAGGAAATAGGAAGGGGTTTTGAAGCCGTTAGTGGTCAGAGCAGTCTCTACCCACTCGCTCATCTTCTCAATCCAAGGAGTGTGAGGTTCTGAGTTGGGAGACACCTTACTTTCCAGATGGGGTGTCATGGGTGCCCCACAGCTGGGGCTGTGAGCACCTGATGTGAAGTTTCCCTTTGCTTTGTGAAGCTGCCTGTCTGTGCCTTTAGTTGGAGCTGGGTTCAGGTAGTTGATCAGTTTGTACCAGGTTGACTTTGCCTTTTTCAGATGATAGTCCAGTCCACCCCAGCGGAAAAAAGGCCACACCTAAAGACTTATTGCCAGCACGAAAGATCATGGCTAAACTTGGTACTTCCCTGTGCTGCCAGGATGCAGAACCACTTTGGGTGATCATGGGGTGTAATCTTGCATGCTGGGCTCTCAGCGGTGGGTCTCTTCACTACATAGCTGTGGAGAGCAGTTTGTCATAACCTCCTCTTGTTGTCTGGTGGGTTCTTTTTGTCTTGAAATTTCTGCTCTTGGAAAAAAAGCCAACTCTGTTCCTCTCTCAGCTCCACAGAGGCCCATTGCAACACACAGAACTACTGCAACCCCCAAGGCTGGCCCAGGTGTGGTGCGGAAGAATCCTGGTGTAGGGAATGGAGATGACGAAGCAGCTGAGCTGATGCAGCAGGTAGGCATCTCCTGTGTCCACAACAGGAACCCTTTGGGGGAAGGGGCGCTTGCTGCCCTGACCGGGGAGCTTGGTCTGTGTTCTTGTGGGAAGACCTGTCTTGTCTGCATATCACAGCAGTGCTCGTGACATGTGTCAGGGCTTTGGGACCTGTGTGGGGACTGTGAGTGTGGACATGAAGATGGAAGGGGGAGGTGGGCAGCTGTTTCTAAGCTTGATTGTTTCTATTAGAAACCAGTATCTGTTTGGAAATGCACGCATAAGGTAGAACCCTGTTGAAAGTCTCTGGAACACTGTCAGGGATCCTGGGATTCAGAGAATGTCTCGTGAATTTTGGCTCTGACAGGAGATAATGTAGAGCTCCTTTCTAAGTAATAATTAAAAAAAAAAAAATTCTGCAGTGTCCCTGCTGAAATCCTGGGTCACTGGAGAATCGAGTGGAGAGTGGCAAAGCCTATGGCTTTTGTGTTCTTAATAGGTAGATGATTTAAAACGTCTTCTTTTGAACTAGTTAAGTATCTGAAGACAGTTGGTAGAGGTCTCCGTAGATCAGAACAAATTTTAGATTTTTAAATTAAACATTTTCTCACTAATTCTTATAGTTGTTTTGTTTGCTTTTGGATGATCCTTGTAATTAATTCCAAATTTAAAAATCAAGGATGCTCTGTAATTCTTATGTTTGGGAATGAACCTTTTCACTCCTGAAAGCCAAGTCCTAAAGCTTGGGGGAATTAGCCTCACTTTAATCCAGAACCTCTTGTGACGCAGACTATACTCTGAGGAAATCAGGACATAAAAGCCTGCCCCCAAGATCACATTTATTGTTTTTTTTTTTTTTTCGTTCTTTGATTTGTGTGTGCCCATGGTGTAGGTGCCTTGAGAGGGTGGAGGTGACTGGGTCAGCGTCCCCGTTGTTGCGGCAGCCTCAGGCACGCGGTGGGCACTGTGGCTGTGAGTGCAGGAGTCCTTGAGGGTGAGGGGGCTTCCCCGGAACTGCTGGTTTCCAGGCACAGGTGTACACAGAGAGTGGTGTCAGAAGTAAAGAGGTGTCAGTACTGAGACTTGGCGGCCAGCACAGGATTGGCCTCACGCTCTCCAGAAGAAGATGCGATGGATTCCGTGGAACTGCTGTGTGAGTGAGCACTGGATTTAGGGGGGTGTAGATTTGCAGCTGGTCCTGGCTCTGCCACTTCTAACTTGGGGCAAGTCGCTTAACCTCTGAACTCACTGCCTCATATGCAGCGGGGCCAATACTTTACTCTCGGTGGTTGGATGGATTTCACAAGCTGATGTTTTGCCAAGTGCCTGGAAGGGTTTGAGGTAAATGGGGTAAGTGGGGGTGGATGAAAGACAGTTGTGATTATTATGGTTCTTGTCTGTGGTCTTGATAGAGTGAAAAAGGTTTTGAAATATGTTTTCAGAGTTCACAGGAGTCAGATTTTTTTTTTATGAAATACACAACTGTTAACAGCAAAAACAAAACTAGCATTTTTAGAGTGCAGGTGCCAGTGCTCTACTAAGCATTTTGCTTTCGCTTTTGCAGCATTTCTGTGAGGGTTTCCAGAGAAGGATAGCAGTGCAGCTCACATCCAGCCTGTCCAGCCCTGCTTCAGAAATAACATGTGTGGCCAGCACAGGGCTTTGATTTTTATCATTATTATTTTCAATGTGAAGGATTTTAGATTCTTTGCAGGTTGTCAAAGTCCTGTGCACACACTGTTACTGACTCCCATGGCTTATATGTATACATGATCTCTCTGACCCTGAGAGTATTTAAAGTGGTGCACTTGATAAAGGGATGGAGGTCTGGGGGACATAACCATATTGGTCATGAAAAGTGGAGCCTCATGGGCTTGGTGGGGAGTGTTTTCTAACAAATTACCTTTTGGTGTTCATAGCCTTAGGAGAGCTTCAGTGATTCCATATTCGTTTTTTTAAATGTAATGAATTTTTATTTTTGACTGCACTGGATCTTCACTGTTGGGCATGGTTTTTCCCTAGTTGCGGAGAGCTGGGGCTGTTCTCTAGTTGAGGTGCACAGGCTTCTTGTTGCAGGTGGCTTCTCTTTTTGTGGAGTACAGACTCCAGAGCATAGTCTTTAGTGGTTGTGGCACATGGGCTTAGTTGCTCCAAGCCATGTGGGATCTTCCCGGACCAGGGATTGAACTGGTGTCCCCTGCCCTGCATGGTGGGCCCTTGACCCCTGGACCACCAGGGAAGCCCGAGTCCACATTCTTAAGTCATCCTGGGGAAGTGTACTGTTAGTTGACTCTAGTCCAAAGCAACACTATTCAGTAGAAATAGAATTCAGTAGAAATAGAATGTAAATTGGAAATGTGAGACATACATGTATAGAACTGAAAGTTTTCTGGTAGTCACACTGAAAAAAGTAATAAGAAACAGATTAATTCTAATAACACATGACTCGATATATTTAAAGTATTAGCATTCTGACATGATCATTACAAATAATTATCAGTGAGATGTTTTACATTTGAACACTGTAGTGGGTCTTTGAAATACAGTGTGTATTTGATACTTACAGCCTGTCTCAATTGCACTGGCTACATTTCAAGTGCTCAGAACACCACCTGTGGGTCATAGCTACCGTATTGGCCAGTGCCAGGTCTAAAACGTTTTCCTTGGGCTTCTTAGGTTCCAACTGTTACTTCACTGTAAGAGGATTGTATGCTTGTTGATTTTTTCCTGTGGGTTCATGGTTATTGAGGGATGTCAGGGAGGGTTGCTGCCTTGGCCTTGTGGGTGGGGCCTGTTGGGCTGGTGTCTGGCTGGAGAACGTTTCAGTGGGCTTACGGGGGAGGCACTGGTGTAACATGCGTGTACAAGTGGTCTCAAGGGTGCCGTGCCGTGTTAAGTGCTTTCCTTTCCTTCTCATGTGATTACAGGCCTCTTTTCTCACTTGGGGACCTTGGGCTGAAGATCCAAGCAGCTTTCACTGCTGGGGATAGTCACCTCTGATCCTTTTGTCCCCTTCTCCCCCTCCACTTTGGGAGTAACTGATAGTTTAAGGAAAGGCTACAAACAGCACTTAAAGCAGGGGTGGGGAGAGTGGGGGCGGGTGAATTATTTTGTTTTGCAGGCGACTAGGTGGTGTTAGTACTTTACTGAAACTTTTTCAGCTATTTTTATTTACTTTTAAATTATTTATTTGTTTTTGGTTGTGCTGGGTCTTTGTTGCTTTGTGGACTTTTCTGAGAGCGGGGGCTACTCTCTTGTTGGGCATGTGGGCTTCTCATTGCAGTGGCTTCTCTTGCTGCAGAACACAGGCTTAGTTGCTCTGCGGCATGTAGGATCTTCCTGGATCAGGGATCGACCTGTGTTCTTGCGTTGGCAGGGGATTCTTTACTGCTGAGTCAGCAGGGAGGCCCTTTAGTTATTTTTAAAAGTGATTCCTGTGGTTGCTAGAGGAATAGTGAGAGTGTCTAGAACCTTGTTTCTAGAGCCTTGATTCTGGATCGGTCTGTTCAGGCCTTTGATAGCAAACATTGAAATTAAGTCTGACAAAATGGTCCTGGTGGTTCCAGTCACCTGCTCCTCATCTCTGGATGCCTCTCAACTGCAGGTTGTGAGGGGGCAGGACTTGTTCCCTTTGGTTGGGCCTGGCTGCTGCTTCAGGCGGTGGGGAAGCTGGATGAGCTGTTTTAGTAACTAGACGTTCAGAAGGTGGATTAGATTCCTGTAGTGCTTCTGGCTCTCAGAATTCCACTGGCCACATTGTTCTCAGCAGCTGCACCTTTGATTCCCTGGCTGGGCTTTCCATGGCCCTAGCCTGTAAGGCCTGTGAAGATTTTATATTGTACCATTTGCCACGTAATTTGCATTCAGTGAGAGTCATAGTTGAATATACTGGAATGAAGACACACTGGACTGTGAAAGTTGTTTTATGACTTTTATTACTCTTGGCTGAACAGAATCCTGACCCATTCACTGAGATGTGTTTTGTCATTGCCTCTTTGTGGAAATTAGAGTCCCTCAGTGGGGCTCCTGGAAGATCCTGTGGCGTGAGTGGTGAGCTGATGACATGCTCAGGGATCTAGGGGTGGAATATGGAGGGGTGTGCCCCTTTCGTCTGTGCTTGTCTCTCCCTTTTGAGACTGTCTTGGGGGAGAGAGTGACGCAGGGACCCTGTCATCAGAGGGTGCTTTTCTTTTGAGCCATGGATGACACCCTAGCCCCAACATATTGGGTAGAGAAATAACTATTGAGTTTCTGTCCCCTCAGTACTAGCTATCTTTGGCCCGTATTAGTTGTCTTTAACTAGTTTTGCTCTCCTGCTCATCATTTCTATCCTGCTCCCTTGGACCAGACCTTCTCTTACCGTTGACTTCAGCTTGCAGAAAGACCTGGACTTGACTGACCCAGTGTCCTGGTATGGACTCAGTATATAATTGGCAGCCACCCTGCTGGGCCAGGTTGTGGATTCTGCTTCTATATTTGTCTCAGCACCCATGCCTTTTTTCTTTGATCTTGTCTTAGTCTCTGAGAAGTACCTGCATGTTTACTCATGTAGCCTATCCTTTCGCGAGAATTGTTATAGTCAGAATGACTATAACATGAATAAGCCCATGCTGTTGATCTGGGGCTGAAGAAAACTGACATCAAGTTAAAATGGGAGTTTTGTTCTTGTTAGAGAATTTGATGAAAAATCACACATCTCCTTTCGGGTTGGAAGTTTAATCTGATGTCCTGTTGGTGTGTGAATTCTAGGTGTCTCACCCTTTCTAATGTTTTGTGCAGGTCAACGTATTGAAGCTTACTGTTGAAGACTTGGAGAAGGAGAGAGACTTCTATTTTGGAAAGCTGAGGAACATTGAGTTGATTTGCCAGGAGAACGAGGGGGAGAACAACCCTGTGCTGCAGAGGATCGTGGACATTCTCTACGCCACAGACGTATGTGCTGACTTGGGGATGTTTTCTTGCCATTTTGCCACCTAAGAGAAAATACATTTTATCTGGTGGTTTTGGCAAGTTCAGTACTGATGCTTGTTGCGTTTCAGCATAGCATTCGTTTAAAGACTTCATCATTGATCCTTAGAGTCAGCCAGAGGGGGGTACTTCACCCTCTGCCTTGAGGTCTGAAGCCTTTGAGGCTGGCACAGGACGGTGAGGTGGCCAGCTGCCCTGCTTCTGTAGCTTGTGGCCACTGGTAGGTCACGAGTGCCACCAAGTGCTCTTAATCCTGCCATCCCCACTCCACCCCGCTCAGCTGGGACCCCTCAGTCTGAGTTGTTGCCTCTTTTTATATGGCTCCAGGTGTGCCCTGGAGAACCAGGCACATGGCCCCTGTTTGATGTCTGCTGCCCACAGCTATGAGAGGTACCCTTTTCCTCCCACACTGGCATGTGCCCGGTCCCATTTCTCCACACTGTTTTGTGGTCAGGTCTCTTGGGAGTCATGTGTATTCTGTAGCTGAATAGGAAAAACTCATTTTCCCTGGATTTACGATTTGACATTTTGCTCTGTCCACTGTATAATGGCTATAATTATTAATAATTCTTTTGCCATGCCCAGCAGTGTCTTGAGGATCAAGCTATAGTCTGTCTTGTCTAAGTGTTTCACGGTATGTGGCCATATACAAATACAAGGTAACATTAGTGTTGTTATTAGCAATGTCCTCTAAATGTATTAAGTGAATTTGGGGGTATTAAGACTGATGACTGAAAAGTTGATAATTTGTTCAGTAAATCTGTATTTCAGGCTTGTAGTGTGCCAGATAATGTAAACACAGTTAATGATGATATAGGTGTCTATGGGTTTAGTCTGAGTATTGTTTTAGTGGAGTCATACGTTAAGTAAATTTAGCCATAGAGGTTTAGTTTAAAAAAAAAGATAGTGGTTGAAGGGGGAGTCTTAAGTTTTTATGGTGGTGTAGCCATTAGCTCATGCCAGATGCCTGGAGTGAGTGTGAGGTGGGAGTCACACATCTGAGGTTTCCCATGCCGCTCATGTTTGGTCAGCCTTGTTAGTTGTGGGTAAACGCAGCACCTGCAGTAGCATGCAGGTTCCTTCTTGTTGTTCAGTCAGTCAGTCATGTCCGACTCTTTGCGACCCCATGAACTGCAACACACCAGGCTTCCCTGTCCTTCACCATCTCCTGGAGCTTGCTCAAATTCATGTGCATTGAGTCAGTGATGCCATCCAACCGTCTCATCCTCTGTCGTTCCCTTCTCCTAAGTGGGATGCAGGTTCCTAAGTGCAGTCAAAAGAACGCATGAAGGAAAAGCTGGCAGTGTGGACAGTTTATTGAGAGGAGATGATCTGGTACTATTGTGGTGACTTCAGGGATTTTTGAGGGTCAGTTTTCTTAAATAGCTTTATTGAGGTTCAGTTGGTGTAGTGAACTGCATGTATTTAAGTCCAACTTGATGTATGACATTGCCATCATCAAGCCAGTGGACACATCCATCACCCTGAACAGTGTGAGGGTGCATTTGTGCTCAGTTTTGGCCTTCTGGGCGATGTGGCTCCACTGCTTCACTAATAGAAAAGCAAAAATAAATAAATAAAAGAAAAGCAGCCACTTGGTCTTGTGCCGTTCAGTGCCAAGTGTGTGGTAGAGACAGGAAGAACCGTTGACTTTCAGAGGCTTCAAATATGAGGAAAGGGAACCTACAGTAGAAACTGATCTTTCATTCAGCGATGAATAATCACTTTCCCCTCTCATCTTCCCATTTCAGGAAGGCTTCGTGATACCTGATGAAGGGGGCCCACAGGAGGAACAAGAAGAGTATTAAAAGCCTGGACCAGCCGAGCAACATCCGAATTCTTCACTCCAAATCATGTGCTTAACTGTAAAATACTCCCTTTTATTATTCTTAGAGGACTCACTGGTTTCTTTTCATAAGCAAAAAGTACCTCTTCTAAAAGTGCACTTTGCAGAAGTTTCACTCCTTTTCCAATAAGTTTTGAGTTAGGAACGTTTACCTGTAGCAGAGCAGTATTAACATCTAGTTGGTTCACCCAGGGAACAAAGAGGCTGACCATGGGCTCACTTTGTGGATGCTGGTAGCACTGATAGCTGGAGAAGGTGGAGACCTCAGTAGAGAAATGTAAAGACTGATTTGAATTTTAAGTTAATGTGAAATCTTGGCAGAGAACATTTTAATAAATAAATGCCTTAAAGAGTATTTAAAAGATGCTTCCATATTTCAAAATATAAAATGTGTGTTTGACATTGTGTCTGGGAAGGAAGGGCTGGAACCTGGAGCCTTTGGGACCTGCTGTTCCCAGCCTTCGCAGGACTGCTTGATCCTCATAAGCCCAGACGTTGGCCCAAAAGCAAAATTTGAAAAATTAATTTTGTAAGCCATTTTGATGTCCTTGACCAATAGCATGCCTGCTAAGAAGCAAGAGGCATTGTTGCCTGGATGAATAGAGGGTGTGTTTCAGGCCTGAGACGTCTGAGTCAAAGAGCTTGATTTTCATGGAGCATTTCTCTGGTGATTTTTCCAGTTATCCCTGATAATTCTGTGTACTGTGTGTGTGTTTTTTTTTTTGGAAATGAGGTGTGTCCAGTTTTTAAACCTAACAACTACTTTTGGGGACTTGCCCACATCTCTGGGATTTGAATGGGGGCTGTGTCCCGTTTTACTGTCTTTTAAGTTTACATTTAACATGTTCCTCTTCTCTGCTCCCCTTGCCCACTGGGGACTCCTCTTTGGCTCCTTAAAATTTGCTGCTTAGAGTGGAAGTTCAACAGGCAGGTGATCATACTGCAAGTTCTTTCTGGACCTCTGGCAAAGGGAGTGATCAGTGAAGGCCACCACTCCCTTGGGATCTGCAAGGCTGGGTGTTTTTTCAGTACCTGCTGTCCACAGCCCTCCACTGTTATCGGAATACTTTGCCAGTGCACTAATCTCTTTGGAGATAAAAATGTTAGCGTGTTACTAAATATTAATTTTCTTTTGCAGAAAATATAGTACCATGTCTGAATTAATTATTAATATTTAAAATATTTCATTCCTTAACTCCCTCATTTGCTTTGCTCACAGCTGACTCAGTTCCTTTGGCAGAATTCTGCGACATGTGTGTTACCCACTACTGAGATTGTTCAGCCCCTGATGTATTTGTATTGATTTGTTTCTGGTGGTAGCTTGTCCTGAAATGTGTGTAGCAAGCAGGTATTTTATGATAAAATTGTTGTGTAGTGCATGCTCTGTGTGGAATTCAGAGGAAAACCCAGATTCAGTGATTAACAATGCCAAAAAATGCAAGTAACTAGCCATTGTTCAAATAACAGTGGTGCTATTTCTCTTTTGTGGCCTTTTAGACTTTTGTTGCCCTAAAATTCCATTTTGTTGGGAACCCATTTTCCACCTGGTCTTTCTTGACAGGGTTTTTTTCTACTTTTAAACAGTTTCTAAATAAAATTCTGTATTTCAAGAGTGTCATGTCTTCTGAAATTTGTCTTGCCCTGGGTATATTCTTTTAGGTTCAAATGATAAGGTAGCCAATGCTTCTTCCTTAAATTAGGGCTGATCTTTTGAAATCCTTCACTGTTTTTTTCAGATGTGCTTATTTCTAAGGCTGTTTCTTTTTTCTTCATTCAAACAGGACACTTCTAAGCCTCCTGCTGTTTTCACACTTTCATGTTACTGTGAGAGGGCTTTCAGAAGTGTGGGGCTTGGCCTCAATGCCATGAAGCTTTTTCAGGCTGTTTCCTTCAGAGAAAATCTTCAGGACCAAGCTTGGTGGATACCATGGGGCAGTACTGTTGTATTTTTTCCCCTGAAAGTGTGTTTCAAAGTCAGTAAACACAGCCAATCTATAACAATCCAAAATCATCTTTAAAAATTCTATACTCAGAAATGAGTTCAGACCGTGATGTGCTGCTATTTTTAGTATGAAATAAATGGGCAGAAGATAGTTTTCTGTATGATCTCTAGGGTACCGACCACAGTTACAGATGATCTGTAAACCAAACTTCATGATTTTCACTAGGATTACATCCATGTTACTTCCTCTAGAAGTTAACAGTATGATATCTTCACTGAAATGTTACACACTTCTGTTACACAGAAGGAATTGGATACCATGTGTGCTGATTGATAATCTGTAAGAAGATATGTCCAGGAGTGCATGGAGTTTGTAAATAAAATGTTGAGTATTGTCAGCTGAGAAGTTACCTTGGAAAGAGTGAAGCTGTTACTGTGTGTACTTCTAACCTAGTAAGTCCATTGGCCTGGCTCTTTAGGCTGAGGCACGTAGTCTTTAAATGGGTCTCATTTAGGTTAGGTCCTGGGTGCCGTGATCTTGAATAAGCTGCTTGGTTTGCTTGGCAAGGTCTGTGTTGTATGCAGGATAGGTAAACAGATGGCTGGATTTGAATTTAGGATTCACTCATGCTGGTGGTCCTCAGACTGGTGGGTTTCAGAATCACCTGTGGAACTTGATTGACATAAAATTTCTAAAGTCCAATTGGCAGAAATTCTGAGTTAGGTGATTAGAAATCTGCATTTTACTATGTGCCTCAAATGACATGGTTTAATGTAGTCTTCAGAGTTAATTTTCATCTTAACATTTATCTCTGCAAGCTCAAATGTAACTGGCAGGGGGTATCAGGTTGGAATCCTTGTAGATTCCTCCTAGCTTCATGACTTTTAAGCTATTAATAATTGATCTCTTGTTCTGACTTGCAAAGCAAGGATGGTAATGTTGACTGCAGTGAGTGCCTCCCTCACCAGGTGCTTGTTGACATCAGAATGAGCTGAGAACCAGAAAAAGTAACCACAGCGTTAGAAAGCACTGCTTGGTTCTTCGGATCCAGTTTGAAGTTTATGGATCAGAAAAGCTTAGGCCAGGGTTTTTGTATCCTGAGAATTCAGGTAGCAGATTCTTCAGATAGGCTTTGAGTATTTTGTAAAAATTATAAGTAACAAGTTCTAATTTTTTTTTTTTTTCCTCCAGCTTGGACGATTGTTGAGTGCAGCTCCTTTCTTTTGAGACTGTCATTTTCATCCCTTTTTTTCCCCCAAGTGAAATCATGGTCTAAACACACCTTTCACCTTTTTCTTTTGAATGAAGATTCAGTGATTCAGTAATTCAGATTCATTGATTTAAAGATAAGTGTTTTCCTTAGGATATAATGTGTTGGAAAGGAAGCAGTTTCCTTTTGCTATACCAAGATAAGTATAGGGAAGTTTTTCTTTAAGGATTGTTTGATGAGATTTGGTATGAAGAACTCCTTTTGTGATGGTTACCATAGTTCAGCATAGTCTACAAACAAAACCTTAGCTTTAGGCCTGATCAGCCTGATCAGATTAGCTTGCTAGTATGTGGGTGACCCAAATCTGACTGCTATCAGCAGAGTGGAAATGATTGCTTTGAGCCAAGCTGAACCTGAGCCTGAGCCTGTCTGTGGTCAGTGTTCCAAATCACCAGTCATTTTGCTGGTTTGGCACTGTTGCCATTGATTTAAAACCAGGTGTATATTGTAGTTTTGAATTCATACATTACAGTTACAGAGTTTTAAAACTTCATGAGTTCATGTTTATTTCGGACACTTGCTACTCTTTTCTCAGTTTTCACATGTGAGACTTGGGTATGCAGAGTCCTTTTCTGAAGGACAGCCCACAGAAGAATTCTGTGCTTTTACACTGAACTTGACCATTACCCCACATGCCTTCAGCCAGATTGTTAAGCAGCTATAATTCGTGAAGGCCTGTTTCCCTTTTGGCTTAATCTGAGTTGGAAAGCAGTGTTACCTTAGCCTAGCATACAGCTTTCTGTTGAGGTTGTGGTCAAGTTGCTTCACTAATTTCATTATCTAGATAAGCAGGTCTAACCTTAGAGTTGGAATTCTGGGCCCCTTATTCCAGGACTATGTATATATACATATAGAAATTTAAAAAATTAAAATAACCTATATTTCTTTTGAATTGGAGGCTCCGATGTTCTGAAATATAAAATGAACATAGCCTTCACAAACATGTTTCTGGGGGTAGGGTGAGAAAAAAAAATCTTTATCTTGTGATCATAAGAAGAGCAAAGCAAGTTAGCCTTCAAAGCCTAGAACTTCGTAAATGGTATTGAGAGACTTAGAATTACAGAGTGATCTGTCAGCAGTTTGAAATTCTGTAAGATGTCTTTTTCCTTTAAAATTTAAAAAAAAATTGTCCCTTCTTCCTGGACGACTGAATATTTTTCACGGTCTGTGTAGGAATTGGTGACGATAGACTGGATGCAGGTATGAAGAAGAGGAGAAAGAGCAATTTACTGTATTTGCTGATGTTTTTAATTTTCACTTCTAGTGGGAGAATGAGATTTGGGAAGCTGGTAGTGAGGTTCAGTCCACCAGGGTAGATCTTAACAAAGCTGTCTTTATGTCTCTTACTAGTTTCCAGCAGGGACAAAGATGGGTTTCTAAGACAATCTTCATGGATGATTCACAAACTGCAGTGTAGACTATTATAAAGTTAAGCCAGGCTCAAGCATGCAAGTGGGTGGACTGAATATATAAAGGGAATATGTGTCTGGAGCCCTTTTCTGACCTTTATCAAGATGAACGCAGGAGAAGTGCTGTGATAGGAGGCCAAGGGCCAGGAGTTGAGACCAGTGTCCTCTTCCAGGCCATGCATCCCTGGTCTGCAGAGCTTTTCTTTGCCTCAGTTAGGAGATGAGTGAGGATGGTTTCCCTGGGATCCCTTCTGAGCCAGGAAAAATTACTTAGATCTGTAAAAGCCAGCAGGATACCAGAGCCAGAAAGAGTGGGAGAGTGCCCATTTCCATCAAGTAT